AAGATATTCCTTTGGTCCCTTTTCTGATAACATTTTCAGCCTGCCTAGGTATATACAGGGACTTTTTTTTTTATTATTATAGTGCATATTGTTTCTTTCTCACACTTATCCTCTAAGACTAGGAAACCAGCAGCTCCAGCCAGAGAGCAGGTAGACATGAATCCTATCACTAACCCCAGGCATTTTGATTTGAGAAAGAAATTGTGTTATTTCACTAGGAAACAGACACAGGCTCCTTTCTCTGCAGCCCGTGATAGAGCATTCCCTGTGGGACTGCAGGGCACAGAGGGAAGCCAGGCTCTGCCTCTGCCTGCTCCCCTGGCCCTGCCGCACCCAGGTGAGGAGGAGAGAGGAACCCCAAGCAGCTGCAGCTTCTCCTGTTGCAAGTTTGGGGCTTCTCTCCAGGCTTGCCACATGGCAAGTGTGGATGTATGCAGGGACCTGGTGTACGCTGAGGGTGAGCCTATACCTGCCATTTCCCATCCACAAAACCTTATGCCAGCAGTTGCCAGCAAGAAACTGAGCAGGAGCAAGCCCTGCAGGTGACAGTAATTCAGCTCACAAATCAGAAGGGTTACAAGAAATCTCCAGAAGAGGACAAGTTATTATTGCATTTCTTTTCTTATTGCATAATACCGCCCTTTTGGCCACTAGATTAGTTGGTGATAGATGTCTACTTAGATACTCAGCGACAAAAGGTCAGTTAGGGCCACATTGTCTTTTCCCAAGGAAAATGCTGACTATTTGACCTTGGTATTTTGGCAAGTTCAGACCTGCATGGATTTTCCAATAGAAATTATTGTATCTAGTCCAGTCTTCCAAGCAGTCAGTATGACCCTTGATTTTCATCTTTGCAGCTCACACTGTTTTCAGAAAAAGGGGAAAAAAATTAAGTATGTATTGTTTGGCTGAGTTTAGTGACTGTAAAAATGTAAGCCACCCAAAAAAGCAAGGATGGTTTTGAAAGCTTTTATGAATACACTGTAAGAAACTTCTAGGTTCACTGCAAAAGAAGCAACCATCTTCTGCTCAAAATTATGCATCTGATAATTGTGCAAAACATATTTCCAAATAAATTGAAAAACACTAAAAAAATAAACAACAAAAATGCGGGAAAGCAGAAGTTGTAAGACTGGCTTCAATAAGTCCTGTTACTTGTTTAAAGAAAAAACCATGTGGTTTCCTCCTATTCTTCCTCTCGCTGAATATCAGACATCAAAGCAAAGCAAACAGTATAGATGTTCAATCTATCAATGTAAATTGGCTCAACACTGGTATATCTAGCACATAAATTGCACGAGGAATAAATATACGGTCTGTTTGTTCTGCTGTTGAGAAAATGCAGTTCAATTAGTCTGGACTACCATAGGATACACAGTTTCTCCCTTTCTGTGGGATATAATTAGGAACAAAATGCAGCATCTGGGGGACTTGTGCCTTTGAAGAACATGACAACTTTTGAATAAATAAGAAGGAAGATGTGAAAGTTGCCGTGTACCCTTCTTCTCACTGTGGGGAGTTGAACAGGCCCTTTCCTGCCTGGCCATTTAATTTGCTCATTTGTCACTAGGCTTGCATGAATCACTGCAAGCCTGCTCTGAGAGATGGGCTGCATGGCTGCGTGACCACGTGGGAGGGGAAGGGAGGGGAGGGGAGGGGAGGAGAGGGAGAGGGAGAGGGAGAGGGAGAGGGAACAGAAGAAAAAGTGGTGACAAAGTTATGGAAAATGGCAGATGAGCACTTAGGGAAGCCTCAAGTTACTGTCCTTCCCACTAGTCACTGTTTGTGACAGTAGTTGAAAGCAGCAAGCCAGCCTGCTATTCTGTTCAGCGACAATGTGGAACAAAGGCTCTTGAATTTTGCTGCCCAGCACTATCCTGCAAAACGAGCATTAGGCCAACAGGTAAATGTGTGAGAAACCTTCATTTTTATAATGTAAAGGAAGTGCCTCTTGTTTGAAAAGCAAGGTAATATGCAGCACTTTGTAACAGTCTTAGAAGATAAAGAGTTTTGTTGGAGGCAGCTGTCTCTCCTGAACAGCTTGGTACCAAAGTGATGCCCTTGCAAGTCTACAACCTGTGTAAGCTAAAGGTATTATTTCAGTCAGTATGTCATAAAGTTGAAACCGATCCTGATATGAAGAAGGGGCAATTGGTTAAACAACATAAGTGAAAGCAAACTGTGTTCTCAAACTTAACTGGCTTGCTAATATTCCTCTCTGAAGTGCCAGATCCATCGAAACTCTCTTAGAATTGGTGTAGAAAGCATACAATTGTATTTTCGTAAAGACATTTTGTTCCACCCTTCAGACACTTTATTTAGGTCCAGCTTCTCATACTCTGACTGGTCTCATTGATCTTTCACTAAGCAGTGGTTCAGCCTGCAGCCACAGCGTGCCCAGGAGCCCCCAGCTCTTCATGCCAGGAACTGGAGCACAGGGTGCCATGGGCACTGGGCATCTTTCCTGAGGAAGCATCGCCTGGTGTGGCTGAGGGCTGCCAGGGTCTACATCTCCTCAGAGATGGGCTACGGCAGGTGCCAGGAGAGCAGAGCTCAGGGACATGCTTGGGTTCTCCCAGCACCCCCATCACCCAAAAGTAATGAGTGTTGCTGATCTGATATATGTCTTGTTGTACTATGTTTGACAGAATCATCGTCAGTATTTGAGGGGGGACCTTTCCTGTTGCTTAAATCATATTCTTCATTATTCTGTAGACATTTTTCTAGAGTACCCCAAGAATGAAAGGTTTTGTTTGGTTTGTTTTTTTTTTCAAAAAAATGCTTCATTTTGAATTTCAATAATTCCCTATGTCTTAATTTCTTCTTAAGGGCATGTTTTTAAAATAAATATTTGAGATATGTGGGTGTTTTATTTGTTTTATTTCTAGTCAATGTGAAAATGGTTGCATGTATACACAAAAGAACCTTTATGTCTATAAAATATAACAAGATATTATAATTTGTACTAAAAACTTAAATGACTATAACATTTCAGTTCAAGAACACTGCTTAAACAACACACTTCGACATGACTTTGTTCTTTTTTTTTTCCCACAGTGAAATTCAAGGAAATTGTACTAAAATAATTTGAATTCAGACAGAAAAATATTTGCTCAACAGAAAGAGGTTTAATTAAGGTACTGAGCCAGCTCTGTAGACAGCCATATGTATGCGCGGTTCAAACATGAAGTAATTAAGCAATGCATTCTGGGCTTTATTGTTTGAATCATTACTGGAACAGGTTCTTATCTGTTGTAAATCACTGTAACTTCTTTGGTTCTCATGCAATAATGCCAACTTACATCAGATGAGAAGAGCTCAGCTGAGCTAGATTCTGCTCACCAAATTATATGCAGCTTGTATTAGTTCAAAATCCATTGCATTCTTACTGCACTATTGAAACTTTGCGTGGTTACCTTTACAAAAAATTTCCAGAAATGTGGGGTGTACAAAAGGTCCCCAGAAACTTACACACATCTGTTTTAGATATGAAAAGACAAAAATGTTTAAAGGATTATGGGAAATCCTTTGTTAGCATGTTAATCTTGTTAGTACAATCAAATCTGAGGTAATGTTAAGAAAAACTTGGGGAATGTGCCTGAACTATCCTTCCAGTTAAGTTTCCCAGTTTTTGGCCAGAAAATTTCTGGATTTTTCCTTGTACAGCAAACTGGGTAGCCTAGAAACAGAGTTTGAGACATAATGATCCATATTATTGTTTACTATTCCCAAAGAGTTCTGAAGTTTTTTAAGCACTGGATTAAAAATATTTTATTAATCACTGTAATTTTCTGATATCTGAAATTGTTACACTATAAATTAGTCAATGAAAGTATGCAATTCGCAAAGCTTAGTCAGCTGATAAAGTCATTTAATGACTGACGGATATGCAGGTAACTGGAGCTGATTCTATATATAGTCACAGTATATCTGCAAGTGCTTTCAGCACTTAAACTTTTTTATGAAAATTGCTTTCAAATAGCATGTAACCTAAGTGATACGGGGAAACTCAGAACAGTCAAGATTTCATTTGCTGAGGTCTAACTGCATAGTATATTGCATTTTAAATTTAAAATTAAACATATTTTAAAAGATAGCATGTTTAGAAAACTAAAACATGAATAAAACTAAAATATGAATAAAAAGTCCTAATTTGGGTCTACAGCTTGTTTTCACTAAAACCCAGTTTGAAATCAATGCGACTCAGTTAAATATAAATATTTTTCAAAATGAACCCCAGCTTTCTAGAAGCACTTGCTTAGTCATAGAAAGACTGTAAGATACTGAGGACCTGACCTCAGAGGAGGCCCATGAAGTCCCACTCTTCTGGAGGAAGCAGCCAGTACAGCAGTACTTGCAGGATAAAAGGTGACTCAATACTGCACATCCTCATTCTTTTGTTCTTAGACATGGAGCTTATTCTTTTTCTTTCCAAAACCTTTGCTGCATGCCATACAGCACAAATTTTCACAAGGAGAGAATCATCTTACAAAAGCAAACACTTCTAGTCTAAGGAGGGCTTGCAAAGCAGTATCCTATCCCTGTGAAAATGAGTAGTATATGGTTTGGTCTTTGTAAGACAAAGACCATTAGCAGAAAAATCCCTTTATTTTCTCTCTTCATTTGGAAAGAATATCAATGTAATTTACACTGCTCTACATACTCCACAAGTGCCAAGGACTGAGTCTCAGCTCTGCAAGCATGTATTATGGAGGAGGTCTTGTTCTCTCCAGTCCATAGCAGGAAAATGGAGCTCGGTTTAGTCTTGGAGATAAACCCCAATTAGAACAACAAAAACTCTATAAATTATCAGGCGTTTATTTCAAACACTGAGCCTGCCCAAGTGGTCAAAAGTGCCTGGAAAGAACAGACCCCAATCCAGATAACACAGCCTAGTGCCTTTCTTGATGTGAGTCTACTCATGACAAACTTTTCTACTCAGTCACTTCCCTAAATGCTTCAGGATCTGTTATGTAATTTCCTTCTTAATTATACAAATTTTATAACATCACATACATGTCATCATTCATTAAAATCTGGAAGCCAGCAAAAGAAGCTATAGTGGTGGATGTTGGCATCAGGCAGGCAATCTGAGCTGCTTTGGGGTCATTATTTTCAGCTGCTCTTGGAAAACTGAAGATTTTTTCTTGAGGTCCCTGTTTATCACTATTCTTCTCATCTTCTTGCTGACTTTCTGCCTCAATGATGCACTCTGGCTCTTCACATTCTAGCTTGGTTTGTACCATTGCTTGATCAGTTTTGTCTATCCATTCCTAGGAAAATGAAAACATTGATATTGGTAGGGACTGAGGTATCAAGCAAAAGAAACCTGGCTGTACCGACACTGATTTTCCTTTAGTAATGGCAACTTTCCAGGATAAGCCACAATGGAGAAGATGAAAAGGAAGCAATATAGACAAGCAGGACATAAGATAGCAGGACGGAAGAAAAGCAGGATGGCAGAAAAGCAGGCAGGATTCCACAAATGCATACAAATCCTACTTATTATCGAGACCACATTAAATACATCCTTGTATTTTATCAGGCCCTTTAGAAAACCTTGGATGTGTAAAATACCTGGTGTCCCCTCCTTAACAGACTCATGCATTCTTTAACCCAAGCCCTGACTTAATCTAAACTGAGACTAAGTTTACATGGAGATTTACACAACATAACATTTCTGTATTAAAGTTTCAGTATTAATTTGTATTTATATCTTTCTTCTTCAGTTTCAGTTTAAAGCTATCTTATATATAGAAAATTTCAAGTTTGTCACTGAACTATTCTCACTGCTTTTCGATATTGTCATTGGGTTTGAAAATGTAAATATTTGACCTGTCTCTACTCGGAGGAAACTTAGTAGTAATTAACATAAAGATAGCCTGATTTGTACAGAAAAATACATCACATATGTGATGTCATGGACTCAAGAAGCAGTAAGAAAACAAAAGCAAAAACTGTGGTCTATTTATTTGATGACGATTTCATGTTTAAAGATTTAGTGACCGTATACCTCTGTGGCTAAGAGAGGATGCTTCCTACTGCGGCTGATGCCTCCAAAGGAATGAGTTCCATCACTGGTTTAGTACCAAGCCCACAGCACTTCACAAACTTAAAGGGCAAGATCAGGCTGAAGCAAGCTTCCTGACCTATCGCATGCAGGAATGGGTGCAAACACCACAGTGCCATGTCACTGGATATTGAGCCTCTGGCCATCCTTAAATTATTCTCTAGCAATTTCTCTGTCTTTATAGCAAGTGTCTTTTCACAGTGCCAAAATAGCAGTACACTGATTGTATGAGCTCTGGTATCTGGCTTGTGGATCCTCTTCATGATGTTGCACAAAGGGAAGGGCTTTTCTCTTGGGTCATAGTGTGCTTGTGGCAATGTCTGTGCAAAGCAAGTGTCAGTGTCTACTTTAAAATTATTCTCAACACTGTAGAGTTCACAGCCTTGATAGGACAGGAATGTTTACCTGGAAGTTTCCATTATGATCATTGAAGAGATCAGTAAATACATATTTTGGATCTGGTATAGCAGGCATGACTGACTTTTGAAAGCTGCAAGGAGGAAAGAAAAATACAAATTGATGTTTTGTCATAGTGTAGTCATTCATACAAAATACTTCAGCACAGTTCTGTATCCACAAATATATTTTTACATGACAGTACTCCAGGTCTGATTTCTTTTAAATGTGCTCTAAAGTTAAAAAGCAGTTATAAGAGTACGATAATGCCATTAGGCTAAGAGTGATTTTTTTGCTGGATTTTCAACCAGCCCCATCCTAGTAAAATCTGAACTCCATACAAACTTCTAGTCAGACAGCAGGTGCCATTCTGCTCCATGCAGTAATCAGAGATCTGCAGGCCCCTAGACAGGGATGATGGTGCAGCAACCAGCTGTACTGGCTGACTTAGTGAATGCAAATGTAAACTTGAAACAGAAGTATGGCAGAAAAAACTCAACTTATGGTCTAAAAAGGTTATTAGAGTCCCATACATTTTCAGTTCATTTTCTGAAATTCTGCATTTTTGGCTTATTTTTCCCACTGAAAATAAGCAATATTTGTGGCCTTTGCAGGATTTTTCTTATTGTTTAGTGGTTTGGGGTTTTTTGTTTGGTTTTTTTTTTTAAATTGTAGATTATAAACATGAACAGAATCATTCAACTGTGAATCCAAATATTGGTATAGTCTTCTTAAAGTTGAATTCACTCAATCTTTAGCCTACTGCAAACAGACATTGAGCCTGATGAAAGTTGCACCAAAGAATGTCAGTTCAGAAGAAATAACAAAAATAATTCACTTCTGAGGTTTTAACTAGATTTCTAAAAAGAAGAAATTAAGTGGAAGAGGCAGAATTTTATCCTGAAACATTGTCTTTTACCAGAATTGTTCTGGTTTTGAAAATTAAAGGCCTTGGTGTTTGGAAGGCCAGGATGCATTATCCCTCAGATAGTAATTAAGCTACCGACTTCTACATCTTCATGATGACTTCATTTATCATCTTGAATGCTAAGAGACTTAATCCTGACTGACAGCTCTATTTTCATGACACAGTTATTTAGTAGTAACCAAAAAATTATATTTACCTCTGCCATTTACACAGAAGAATCAAGAGGATAAATATCACTAGAAGTACTGCCAGCAAACAACTTAAAACAATTAGTTTGTTTGACTGAGATTTTATATCATCATCACATGAATCTAGGAATAATCACAAAAAAAGTATGTGAAAAAAATATTTTTTGCTTTTACAGTAATTATTCCTAATCACACTAGAACACTGACTTTTCTTTACAAAAAAAAAAAGGGGGGGGGAAGTTTTTAAGAACACAGAAGTTAACTTTTACAATTGAAACTGAAAGGAAAAGCTAGCCTTCCCCAAACCTTGCAACAAAAGAAAATTTTGCTTTTATTTATCTAAATTGACCTGGTGGGGGACAAAGGAGCGGGCTTACAAGCAAAGAGTAGAGGCGTTATGGATGAATTGAGTATTTCTACTCATCTTCATCACATTGAATTGACAGTGATGCAGCAACTTTATGCTGAGATCTATATTACCTACACCTACTTACAATCACTAAAGCTGCAAGTGCAATTTTACAGGGACCCTAAATGTCTTATTTCCCAAGACAAAACAAACAAACAACAACTCCCCCACCCCAGCAAACAAAAAGCCAGCAAACCACAAGGGCTGATTCCCAGAAAGTAACTAGTAGCAGCATATCATCTAACACACAGCTATTTAAAACTAATGTATTTGTTCACTTTTTGCCATTCTCAGTGTTTTTCCTCCAGCCTTTGTAAAGCCACCTCAAAACTCTACTTCCTACTATTGAACTTTTATCTCACCACATAAATACTATAAAAACTAAACTGATTATTCATACAGGAGCAACTGTCCAGCCTGTTCCACCTGCCTGCTTTGTTCAGCTTTCCAGAAAGCCACAAGAAAGGTTGTGATCCCCAAGTAAGGTATTCAAAGTCTACAGAATTTCTTGAGCACAGATTTGTTCCTGGCTTCCTTTGATGTTAGATTTGGAGGCAATGACAACTCATCAAAGTCCTGAAGTAAAGTGCTTGCCCCAGTGAAGAAGCTGTGCCAACGTCACTTCTGATCCAGGGGCAACCAGAGAGACTGAACCATTAGTCTGTCTCCTCTGCACTTTCCATCCTTGCAGTTACCTGCTGGCAGCATCTGGTCAAATGGTCCAGGTAGGGCTGTTCATAGAATCATAGAATGTTTTGGGTTGGAAGGGACCCCTAGAGGTCATCTAGTCCAGCCCACCTGTTATGTGCTCACCTCTCAGAGGTGTACAGGGAGACATTGTCCTCTGCTTTTCTTGAGGGCATTTGCCAGCCACACATGAGAACAAACCTGCAGGCTCACAATTTGAATGGTGGAGGAGGCTTCTTTGGAAGTCATCACTGTTGCTACTGCTAGTGCACAGGCTGCCCATACCTGTGCTCCAGGATTTCACCCCATCTTTGTGTATACAGATTTTTCTTCAGGTGAGCTAATAGCCCATTGCATTTTAGAAGACTCAGATCTGGATACACTGGACATCTGGGTGTCTCATAGTTCTGATAAGGGCTAGTGGGTGGCATTTGGTGCTTAGCTGATATGATACAAATGTTCTGGGATGGTGTACAGTCTTCTTTATTATGGCAAATCTGGTTTTTGGTTTTGATAGCTGGTAGAAATACTGTTTCCATCAAAGATGGTCAATCGCACTCAGTTAAAAGTGTCTGTCTGGTGGGAAAGCAGTGCTGATACTGACTTTGCCTCCATTTCACCCCTTTTCCCGCATTGTCCCTGTTTTGATCAATCCAGCACACATGAGCATCAGACTGCTATGACCTCTGGTCCTGTAGTTCAACTGGATGTACTTTCAAACCAAACTGCCTTCAAAAATGTATCATGAAGGATTTTGTTAGGGTTCAGGTTTGATATCCACATATCATATGTGGACACGCCCATCCTTCACCCCCTCACCCCATGCATCACATCGTTATTGTTGGTGGACTCTAGGCACTATTGTAACACAAATAATAAGGACACTCTTAACTTTGCTGATTATGGCATAAATTGGTATTGTTATGGGCCATCAGGAACAAAGCGGACAGGAGTTAAACATGGGCAATTAGACATCCACGTGAAATTTCTTTGATAACAGAAGGTCACACACAATGGGGCAAAATTAATTTGCTGCATGTTCCCAGGCTCTTTTGCAGTCACCCCTTCCCCATTTGTACTTAGACAGTATATGAACGTAGCACAGCTGTTACCTAATGATGTGCCATTCATCCAAAATGTTTCTGCTTCCCAGTCACTGCTGTAATTAACTACGTTGCAGTAGGGTACTAGCCTCGTCAGTCTGACCCGCAAAGAATAGCATTTCCTTGGATCAAAGCCTTGCTCTCCAACACTGCAACACTTAGAAGTTCTGGACTGGGAAGGAAGGTGTATCATCGTTAATTCTGATTTTCAAGACAGTGCTTCAGAATGCTACGCTTAGTCATGGTCACAACTAGGACAAGGTATAGGCCAACCCAAGTCTTCAATCCACAAAGTATTTACAAGTTACAGCTGAGATTGGAAAGGTTTAAGTCAATGAAATTATATTTAGAAATAGTTAACAGCTAACTTTAGAATAAATGAAAGTCTTATATCATCTCTTTTCTTTCATTCTATTTCATGTTTTTTTCTCCCTTTCCCTCTCTTCTTCTCTCTCTACTCTATTTTCTGCTTTTGTCTTCCCAAACTGCTTTATTCTGAATGTGTGACCTTCCCCTTAGATTGTCCTCAGCTCTTCAGGTGGCAACTAGATATAACCCAAAAAATAAATGATTTCTGACATGGCAGGAATTCAGGATCATAAAAATATGTTTTCTGCTCCCAGCAATATTTGAAGATATAGGATGGGAGAACAATTTGAAAACAACTCTATTTAAATTCTATGGAGATACTACTACTTCCAGAGCCTTCCAATGTTGATTAAAAATGTCATGTCTAACTCACTTGCCAGTCTTTGTCAAACTTGCTTTTGTATTGAAGCTCAAGCCTCAAGCACTTCACAGCTTTCTCTGGTTTATTACAGCTTACAGTAACGGTGTCCTCTTTCCAGAAGAAGGTCACATTTTCTGGTCGATTTGGCTTTACTAAGAAGAAGAGAAACAAATTATGTTATAGGCCCTTAAAAAGAAGTACTTTGCAGTTGAAATTACTGTTATTCTTTCCTTGCGTCAATGTTTCTCATAGTAGTAAGTGAAGAAAGTGGACTTTCTTCTTGGAGGAAGCACTTCTGTAGCTGACCTCCCTATTAAACATCAAAATGGAGCTTGACACCATAACACCGCTCACCATTCGAGGTGGCAGATACTATCTCATGTCAGGAACCTATTGCAAGTACTTAAGGAAGGACTCTAGTCTCCTCATATGCCTTGCATATGAAAGAGGCTTCTTCACTGGAAAGGGGCTCACAAATTCAGTACCATAAAACCTACAAGGCCCACGTGCAGTTGCTGGAGGCTATGTGGGGTATGGTGGGACATCTGCAAAAAGCACTGGGTGCCTACCTGTACACAACTGAATCTTACCCCTCACTGTTTTCAGATGGTCCAAAGAGCACGCAATGGTTTGATCTATGTAGCTGGTTAGTCTTCAGTAGTGGGGAAATAAAGAGGTGAGAAGAGTGCTACCTTCTTTCTCAATCCTTCTAGTTACCTTTTTCTATTATCAAAATTCTGCCTTCCTAGTTCAAAGACTTAAGTCTGATCCTTCATATTTGTACTTTGTTACCTAACCCTTTTGAAATTAATTTTACTATCAGTGGGTGTTTAATAGCCAAAATTTGAGAATAGTGCTGCGTCTTTCCGTAATTTACCAGATATTGGTAGAATTATGAGATATAAAATTATTCTCAAATTTAGATGCCTTGACAGGCTTTTTTTTAATCCCTTTTGCTAAAAATATTATTAATAAATGCTAATAATGTATTTGGAATATATATTTTTTTTCAGATAATTCTGCATTGTTTATTTTTGGCATGATTTTTATCAGGAAAAATCCCTCCAATTTAAATGCTGTAACTATGTGCAATTCCAGAAGATTTTGATAAACTAATCTCACACTAGATGTATTTGTATATGTATTTGTGGGCAGGAGTGATTTAATAAAAACAGGAACATTGTCTCTCTACTGGTAGGAGGAAGTCTTTGTTACAATGTCAGACTGTACCAGAGCCAGTCAACTAATTTCTATTGACATCTGATGATGGTTTTATGACAGCGTCTTTGATAAGAAGTAGTTTGCTGCCTCCATCCCATGGAAGATGGTGAAAGAATGGAAGGTTGAAAGTGTGAGAAAGATCACACAGCCAGCACTAAGACAAGCAACTATCAATTTTATTATATGAATACTGAGCAGGTCTGCACTATACTAAGCACACCCATATATTTTAGCATTTTCATTCTGATTTTGAAACTGTGTTTTGGGACAAATCTGACTGTCCCATGCAATCTCACTTAGTTGCAGCTGCACAGAAGCCTGTGTAACTACTGATGGCAGCAAGGTATGAAAATCAACATGAAATAACCATAGTTTGGTTATGGCACACACACTAATAACATTTTATACACTAATATAACTGATTTCTTCTGAAACCAAGGACAACCAGAGAATCAGTGAAGACACCGGGACTACCAAAGTAGTTGTGATTTTACATACTTACTATAAAAATCAGACTTTAGTATTTTAGAAAGCTGTTCACTTCCATTGGTGTTCCTGATAGAGATGGCAAGGGTGGGTCCTTCTGTCTTAAAAAGACATCCAGAGTTATAATCTTGATCCAATAAATAGGTGGGACATGGCTTCCAAACTTTGTGCTTGCCTTCATCAAATCTATAAATGAAGTTATATTGGTGAATGGAACACTCTTACCAGTTAACAAAAGTTAATTCCTTTTTGTTACTGTTCTTTCTTTCTTTTTTCTTTTTTTCTTTTTTAAATGCTCTTACCAAGGGAAGTCTACGTATGGAGTTTCTTGAAGCAGCAAATTTCATAGTGATGTGAGGGAATTAATTACCCAAACCTCATTGACTTTCTGGGTTTTGGTGCAGTCTGAAATGATCAAATTTCCTTCATGATGATCATGTTTTCTAATAAGAGTATGACTTGCTCAAAAAAATGTTTTCAAGAACGTGTTTCCAAGATTGTACTGCTAAAAGTTCTTTCACATATACTGCCCAGAAAAATAAAGGGAAGATGAAACACTATGACTGCCTTTAACCAAAACATTAAATTTCTGTTAGCCATTAATGACGTCAGTCGATAAAGAAAATATACACACATATGTGGGAAAAAAACCACTTTCAAAAGTGTAATTAGCATTAACATTTAGCACAATGACAGAAGAGTGACAAATCTTTCATATACTGTCTGTTGTGACTGACTATTCAGGATTATTGATTTGTACACTTCTGTAGCAGGCTGTGAATATAAACAGGTTTGACACTGGATGATTAACAAATGTTAAAAGCATTTGCAGGTACAGTTCACAGAAGACTCAAATGGTCTTAGATACTTGAGCCTCCCAAAGTAAATCCTTTAAGAAGAGAAGAGTAGGCATTATCAATACTCACGTGTAAGAAAATGACATATTCTCGCCAGGGAGTATTTCTCTTGCTGCCCATGTGATCTGCATCTTCTCATTATTGAAATTTACTATGCTGATGGCATCTTCCCAACCTGTCCAGGACATTGACAGAGAATATTATTTCAGCAGTGAGTATGAAAAACATCCCTTGACATTGGTGGGCAATCAGTATTTCAAAGATATGCATGCAATACACTCAGATGATCATAAAATAAGAAGAACTAAGAATATCTAAAATGGAAGGTAAAATAACCTGCAGAGGTTGAAATTAGAATTTCAAAATATGCATGCACGCAACACCAGAGAATGCCCCATTGTCCCTGGGCCAAAAGATATAGACTGGTTCATGTGTATGCATAGGGCCTATACCTTGAGGCCAGCTTTCCCCCAAACTACCTGCTAAGGTTTTCCTGCTAAGGAAGACTATTTGGGGACTAATGCCACATGGAGCCTTTGTGTAAACTGTCAAATGTTTATTGTTAGAAACAAGAGATGAACACCACTGGTCAAGACCCATAGGAACCCAGAGCAGATCAGCACAAGTAGGTGCACTCTATATTTGATCTATGTGGTTCTGGCCAATTGCGCCTTACAGGCAAGAAAGATCATTTAATGTCCTCTGACTTCATGCAAATATTATCTCCTCTCCTGACTTTCTCCTTGTTATAGCTTTTGCTAGGGACAAAGGTATTTTAATTGTGTTCATCAGAATTCCACAATCAGGCACTGAAGATAAATCCGACATTGAAAAATGGAGAAATTAAAAAGGCAGAAGGATTAGAAAATCATTCTATAAAAAGGAGAAGGATGAATTATTTATTTTGCATCCTATAAGATGTGAAATTATATTTACTTGAATGAACAAAGAGGAAGAAAATGCATCTTGAATATCAGCAAGAAACCACTTGAGGGTAAAATTTGCAGACTGCTGTCTCCAGTTATTAAGTGTCTACCACTAAAAAATTTGCTGGAATATTCCTGCCTAGCGGGAGAATAGAGAATTTTAGCTCTGATCGCTGTCTACATTTAATTTTGAAGGGATTTAAAGTGGACAATTTTTAAAACATTTCTTATGAGCTTTTTGTCACATACAGTGATCCTGAATGTTCATGGGAATCAGGCCTAACTATCCTCATGGTTTCTCTCTTTTGCTCTATAATCGACACTCAGAATGTGAGAAAAGCATGTGGGTTCAAGTAATTGTTTTGCCTATTTTCACGGCTATATCTCTGCATCTAATGACTTCTGTAATTAGTTAGTCAAAACATTTTTGTATAGGTGTAATTGTGTTGTCACATGTTGTTTTGTCAAAATCATTCAAGAAGCAGTTACGACAGAAATCCAAGAGAGACTGCGTAGATGTGGCTGCTATGTGATTCATGGAGCTCTGATAAAAAAAAATTCTGCTTTTACTCAAGAGAAGGAATTGAAACTAACTCCTCCATCTCCTAACTAATGCCTGCAGGCTTGTTCTGTATTGTTTTCTCAAACTGAAAATCTCATGTGTTTTTCTGAAGAATAGAGAAGTCAGTACTATTACACACCAAAATAAAAACAGAACTTCAAAACCTCAAAGGCTATCTTAAAATGGAATTTATCCAGCCAGTTCTACCTGTTACAAGATACTAACTTGTTTCCTAACTCCTCAAGTCCTTTGTAAGTTGCCTCAGCAGGTCTAAGAGATGATCTTGTCTTTGACTAAAGCCACTAAGACATATGATGGCAAAGTGCCTTACAGTGGATTCTTGGTCTGCAATTCATTAACACATTTTAATTTTTATGGACTAAATTCTAACATGGTTGTGCTGTGCAGTATATAGTGTTATGTTTAGTGGAACTGAAATCCATGTGACTACTTGGACTTAGGTTTTCTATAAAGATAATTAAATGTATATTTAATGCATATTTGAGTGTATAATTACATGTCCTCCATCTTTAAATAAAATTAACATTATAAAAAAGAATATAAATGTTGGTGAATGGAGAATACTGTACTGTCCATAGATCATTTTTATGAGCATAGAATGAATCCTTTCGATCCCCTTTAGAAGCAAAAAAATATGTACTTTCCACTTTTTGACAATTAGTCTGATTGCAGATATTTTCACTTTGAGGAAGAACTGTGAATGAATATCTATGCTTCAATTCTGAAAATAATACCAGGAAGTGTAGTTGCTTTCTTAATCACATATTTTCAGGGATAATTAATTTCAAAATTAATTTACGATGTCGTTTCTATGTGCACAATAGTTTGGCACAGTGACAGATGGCAAAATGCTGTTTGTAGGGCATGTTTTTGAATGAATTTTTACATCAAACATGAATGAAATTCTTCAGGTTAGTCTCAGAAGGTGGCTTAACATCTCTGCAGAGAGCTGTGCACACATGTCTTCCTGCACTCAACCAAAAGGTTTCAGATAGGCTATGTGCTAAACAGAGAGGCATGCAGTCTTGCCAGTAGGACATAATAAAAAGTGGGTGTCTGAGAGCCCTGTCTTGAGCATAGCCAACTAATCCAGGCTGTGCCAGGACCCTTACCAGATGAAGGGTGCCAGCTCAGAACCCTCACTTGGACTTGGGCACCTGGGCAGCCCCACTGAAAAACACAGCAGTGATTTTTCCATTAGTTGCAAGGTGTGGATTCAACACCCAGTCTTTATCCCATTGCCCTCCAGTTGTGAAGTTGCAGCAGCTGACCCACGATGTGAAAGACCTGTTTGCATTGATTTCTAGTGTTAAGCAAATAGTGCAGGTTGGGTTTATATATGAGACTGGTCTCAGGTTGCTCCGTATCATAGAGCTGCTAGTATCTGAAGTCTGAAGGGAACTGTAAAGAAAAGAGGTAACTTTACTGGTGAAAAGTAGGTGCTTGCAGATGTCAAATGATCAGTAAAGGTTTTGGGAGATCTTGTAGAATTAGCTATGAAAAATGGCTCTAATCGCTCTGAGGTGTTCAGTCAATTTGGTCACAAGGGCTTTACAGGTACAGAAAAAAGTAAGGAAGAGGAAAAAGGGAGTTTATAACCTAAATAGACAACATCATTAAAAGAAGAGAAGAAAGGAGAGGAAAAGCATGTTTTAAATACCTCTGAGAGGAAAATACTGCAATGCTATAATTTTTATTGCTCCAAGTTCAGAGTGGTAAAATAATATTGTACTGCGTAGTCTTTCTGAATGAATTTTCTCTTACCGGGCAGTATAAATAACTCTTTTTAAAAGAAATTATGTTTATAGAGAAATTGGTGGAATTAACACAGATAGGACTGGTTCATAAATTGTGAGAGAGAGCACACAGAATTTGCTCATGCAAATTTTTTGTATACACCTGAGAAAAACTATGGTGCCAATATTTAGACTAAATAGGTGATGTGTGCTTGGGAAGTTCCCTGAACCTGTGACTATGTATCCTACAACCCTGACACTGCCAGCAGAGAAATAAAAGTAAAAATTTTGGTAAAGTGGTAACCCACCCTTCCCTCTCCGTACAGGCCAACTCCTGAAATAATTTTTCAGAGTGCCACATTTTCCCTCAATTCCAATGCAGAAAGGACACCAACATCAAGATCCTGAATCCCATGAAGTTCCTTTATTGAGATGTTCAATCTCTTCAAACTCTCAGTGGGTGAGTTGAGGCGTGGTTGGCTCTAGAGATGGATAATAAGGAAACCAGAGGGACAACATGGGATTTCCACGCACTAAGGAGTGGACACTGAGTAAAACCTGAGGGTCTGATCTGACTGGCCTGTTGGAAGGCAACAAAAGTCACCAATTCATTCGGAATCTTGGACAACCCTCATTACTCTATTTTTTCAGTTATATTATGATAGCTCTATACTACTTATTAGACGCTGCAATTCAGAGAAGGACACTAAATCTTGGGTTTGGCAATGCATTTTTTTTTGGATGACAGAGGAGAATATCAGCTTGGCTCCAGTCCTGCAGTGATTTATTGATGGACTTAACTTTACATATAAATCTTTCTAGAATCAGAACCTTTTTCTGCAAAATCCTACATATTATGAATTGAAACTCTGGGACTTTAACACTGAAATATAAACTCCAGCAACTGACGTTATTTATGTACTAAATGGAAGGTAATACTTTATTAAATGCTTTAATAATAAATAGAACCATTTAATAGAAATGGAACAGAAATTGTAATAAACTATCTGGTGATATATACATATTCTTTCCTGTGCTCTAGTTTTTAAGAACTTCATAAAAAAATCAGTCTTAACATAATTAACTAGCTGTCTAAGACAGAGGAGGTTTTACCAATCTTTTATTATTAAAGAATGTGCTTCTAGAGCTCTAGTCAGGGCAATTTTCTACCGTGCTTTCTAATTTCATGAGTTTTGTAGCCTTCTTGAATGTGGTATGAGTTGTGTTTTGTGTAAATGTTCAGTAAACATTTGTGTATGCCTTTTCAAATTATAGCATGTATATGTTGCTTAATTCACATGTCAGCAAGAAAAGATGCATAACCTAAGTGAGGTTTTTAAAGTTTGGATTAAATTGACATAAAAGCCTCTGAGTATATGTACCGGTTATCTGAAATATGGTATTTCCTTCTAATGATCTTCCTTTTGCCTTTAACTGAAAAGGTTGGGGTTTTTTTTAGCACCTATACACCTATACTTCTGGAGGCAGGATCATTATGAATCCACCTGTAACACCATAGATTGTTCTCAGCTGATGTGCCAGCTCTTCCACAGTAATTGTAATTATTTAAAGCATTCTTCTATTAATGATCCTAGAGGCACACAATAGACCAAAGTAACACATTTGTCATTATTCTTTGTTTTATGATAACAGGTACATAGAAAGGCCAAAAATATTATGAATAGACAGTCCCTGGGTTAAAGAGGGGGTGGCAGCAACTTTCTGTCTGAGGATGGTCTGCTGATCTAGCTAGGTATACGGTATGTTGCAGTGCTGTAAGACATACCAGTGCCCTGGAGCATGAGGTTCAGAGAGAAATATCCAAGTCTGCATTTTTGGTAAAACCAGATAGGGACTGGTACAGCTCCCCAGAAGTCTTTAGCCTCACAGGCACTGCTGGGCACCTAGCTCTTCTCAGGACAGAGAAGCATGGAAAATACCACTATGGTGTGTGGAGCACTTTTACAGGGGGAAAAAAAGAAATTTCCTTGAGCAATAAATTATGCAGATGCAACCATGAACAAGAATATGAGCAAGAACATTCCACCTCCAAGCCACTTTTCAAAGTTTATTGCTGAGGAAAAATACTATTGAAGGGGAACATTGTAAAAGGGCTTAATGTCATGGAACAGATCACAAAAGAGAAAAAGGAAAGGCAGAATGTCAATCTGCAAAGATAACAGAATGGAACATGCATGTACTGGAACAGTTGCAACCTCATTGAAACATAACAAAGAAGAAAAACCACTTTTGATTTCCTTACACTGATGAAACCTGATAAGTAACCACATGTTGAACTTCCACATATTACAGAACACTGCATAGAAACTACTGGAGAACGAGACCCAGATCTGAGCCTACAGTCTTTAGTTACCCTTAATAGTACTGAACTATGAGAACAGTTTCATTTCATTTATAGGAACATATGTAGGC